CATCTGACATCGTTACAGCCCAACACTCAGAGATGCTCCGTTTTGATACTTGCTCATTCTTCAGTCAGCAGCAAACTTTCTAGCACTCTGCTTCAGCTTTCCAGGACACATGTTTAAAAAAAAAATCTTAAGAAGCCACATTTAGCCTCTCAGATCTCTGCCTGGGTAATTTACAGGAGTAACAGGTTAGACTGACCTAGCTATAAATGAGAAAGATACATCACAGCTGGACATCCTAACTGGTCTGAAAGCATTTGCCAAGCTTCCACAGGCTTTTGAAACACAACCTATGATTTTCAACAATGTTTCTACCTTTCTTCATCCAACAGTGAAAGAGAAGCACCATGCCCACTCATTCTGCTACTATGCATTGGAGGGACATTCCTGCTTCCTTCCTCCAACCTGAGATGTCATCTTTTTTCCAGCAAAGCTATTTCCAGAGCTTATTTACAAGTTCATTCAAGTCTAGACTTTCTAATTTTGCAGCATAATCTGTAGCTCAGTCATCCATGAAACTGCTGAACAGCCTGCAATTGTGTGCAAATCCACACCATGGCTTGTGCTGCCTGAGCTCAGGTACAGTCATCAGCAACAGCATACAGCACTTTAATGGGAAGCTCTTTAAACCTACCAGGAGCATTTACCAAAAAAAAAAATCTCTTCCCTTCCTCTACTTCCCCTTAAATAGTTTAATTAATACTGAAGTCCTAGCTTTGGCTCCAGAAAGTGACAAAAGCAGGGATCCTGACAGGGAAATAGATACAGCATAGGACAAGAACAGGTGGAAGGGAAGGCTTCTTCCCTTCATTCATTTCATGGCCCTGCCCAGTGTGAGCCCCCACTCTATCTCCCAGGCTCAGGCAGCACAAGAGACACTGTGCTCAGTAGATCTCCCAAAGGAAGCAGGGGATAAGATCTGAAGGCACATCCCACTGACAACAGCACACTTGGTGGTCTCTAGAAGGAAGATGAATGCCTTGCCTGGCAGAGGGGCCAGGCAGATGCTGGCACCAGCCTGACTTGGGCAGCAGCATGTGGGAGGAGAGAGGGTGAAGAGGGAACTCCTGCCCTCAGCCATGAGAGCTCTGGTGTCAGCTGGTGGCAATGAGCCCTGAGGAAGGGAGCTGTGCTGAGTCGGCCACAGCATCTGCCCTTCTCCAGAAGCACCCAGGAAAAAGCTGCTCTGTGGTCAGAGCCAAGGCAATGACCCAGTGAGATGAAAGTGACCCAGATGTAACACCCTCCCCACCCTCAAAGTAATCAGATTTGCTCTCTCCCGTGACTTCCACATTTGCTGAGTGTACTTGGTCCCACGTGAGTTGCAAGAGCAAGCAGAGCTATCTGCAGTAAGACTGGCATGCCTCGCCTGCTGCTGCCAATCCACAGATACTAGCAGAGGCATTACTCAGGCACTCGTGACCCTGCTAAGGGCTCCCACACTTCTTCCTCTCCCTCTCAGCCTATCCAAAGGACAATTCCTCTCAGGGCCATCTTAGGGCTTTCCACCCCGATGGGTAAAGTCAAACCTCCTGTCCTTTGGCTGGGCAGCAGGCTGTGGCACCGTGCATCCATCCGTGCTGAGCTAACAGGGGCACAATGCCCATCCTTCCTCTCTGGATGTGCACACAGCAACAAATAACAAACAGAAGGCACACTGAGGAAAAAAAAATAAAAAAAAGCTTTCCCCCTGCCTTCTCTTAACCTGTCTTCCTCCAGTCCCTAGTCTATGCTCTCTTCTACATCTAGCTGCTGGGCAGGGCATACGTGCCCTTCCAACCACTGTGGCCAGAGCGCTCCTTTGCATCCCTTCACTATTTCTCTCTCCAGGAGATTTCACCACTGGTCCCAGCACTCTCCTCTAACAAGAGGTGGCCCATTACTGCAGAAATCTGCTAAGCAAAAATAGTAGGGGACCCACCCAGCACACCACAAGGGCAGCTCCAGCTCTGTGCATCACATTGCTGCTGAGTGTGGCTTATTGGAAGGAAGCCACTGTACCCTCCTGGGAAGAGCTTCTTGAGGATTCTTGTTGGTCCCTGACCATACAAAATGTGTGCTAACTGCTTGGAAGCACAGGAACCCACTGAAGATTGACAGGAAAACTTGCTTCCAAGTAGAAAAACACTTCTGGAAGACAATAAAAGTTCCTCCTGTTCTACATCAGCATGGAAGAAAAGCCTTTCAAAACTGCATGTGTTTGCTCAGTGGAATAGGATTTACTGCGTTTTGTTCTCCTGGATGATGCAAGGACCCACAGCAGTCAGGAGGGGAAAGGCCTGAGCTCATTGCTGCTCTGCTTCCCTCCCTCACAGCAAGCACCATCACCTGCACAAAGCCTGTCTCTTCCTGCAGCCTCACTAAAAAATTTCACCTGAAACACCTCTTCCAACAAAACTACGGCAGCTGCAGGAAAAATTTTCAGTTTAACAAATCAACATCCCAAGGTGGTTCCTTCAGATAAGCCTTGAGCAGCTCCAGGCAAGAGGCTGTGCTTGGAGACCACAAGAAGCAAGCTCACCACAGCACTGAGGAAAACCCACAGAGGAGCACAGGCAGCTCCCTGCTGTCCCTCCACAGAAGGCAGGGCTCATCCCTGGCACACTCTGCACCTTAGGGCAGGCAGCTCTGAAAACAGCACTAGGCTATGAGGAAGAGTGTGGTTTGGATGGAGGCAACTCAATCTTGGCAGCTCCGTGTTTTACAGACAGCACTTTCGTGCTCTTCTAGCTCCCAAAGCATCCTGAACAGTTATTTACAATTTCCCTCAGGCAGGCCATAAATCCAAGCACAACTAGCAAGCTCAAGACAGTGTAAAAGGATCCCAGAGGCAGACTAATTACCTTTGCAGGCTATGCAAGCCTATGCAGTTTTGTTCTGCACAGTAGCTTTGGAAATTTTGGCTAATGGCTGCCACTAACAGGTCAAACTTTCCACTTTCCATTGTTCTGTTCAGGGCAGCCAGCTGGGAGTTCAGGGGCAACAAATCTCCAAGGGAAGAAATCAAGGCCATTAAGGGAAAGGGAAGAGAAGCTGTGAATCATAAGAATACTCCACACACATTTCTGATTCCAACAGAAAAGATAGTACATAAAGACTGAGAGGAAGCCTAGCAGATTATGAGGACTAAAATCAAAACTACCACCAAAACAGAAAACCCTACAACTCTCATTCTCCCGAGACTTTAGGGATTACTTCTCTCCGAGCATGCTATACCAAGATGACAACTTCTTTTTTTGTTTAAATTACTTAATATAGTAAAAATTCACTCCCCTCATCTCTTGAGACAGAAGGTCAGAAGATTTCTCAGAGGCGCAGGTGCTGCATCTTTCACATTTTCTCACCTCCACAGAAGTGTGCTGATGTTCAGCCTGCAGCTAATTTCACACGGATCTCTCCTAACACCTACTAGCTCTGTTTAGGCATTGTCTATCCAGACAGCCATGGTTACAGCAAACACCTGAATTTTAGAGCAGGTGGGGATAAAATATCAGACTCAAATCTTTGCTCTGCACCAAATAGTGCATGAAGCAACCAGAATATACCATTTTCTGAATGAAAGCCTGGGCTGACAAGCTATTGTCTGGTCTAAGGCAACACATACACTCTTTCACTCCAATCATTAAAATGTCCATAATCAAACTTCTACTTAGCTGGCATTTCCCCATGAAAATCATCAGCTGCAATCTCTTAAAAGTTAATAAAATCCCTCATCAAGTAAAAAACTAACATGCTGCAACTGGGCTGTGAAAAATCTTGACAAGCCTATTATCCAGCAGGACATCACACTAGTAATTGCTGAAGCCCCCTCTCATGGGAACCACACAGGTTAAATTACTTCCCAATAAAAGTGTAATGTCTTCAGCAGTACTTTCAGTTTTTGGTGAAAGATTCTCACTAAAGATTACATGAGCAAAGGCAATAGAATTTAAAAATCATGTATCTTGGGTATCATACCAGGCATAACAACAAAGTGCAATACAGAACAAACTCTTGTCTTTTGCAGTCAGGCATCTTTCCCCTTGGCACAGACCAAAAATAAAACAAAAACTGTCGAACTTCATACTTCTGCAAAGTAAGGATACTGTACTAAATCTTGATGGGTTAGATACCATCCACAATAGGAAGTAAATAAAATTTTATGAAGATCTGTACAGCAACTTCCAGGATATAATTAGATAATACTTTTCCAGAGCCATAATAAAGAGGAGGAAATTTTGTGTTTTCTTTGGTTGGTGTGGTGCTACCTGTTAATTACAAACAGCCAAGGAAGCAGAAGATGCTCTCTGGAACATATCCAAGGGACACCGATTAGGCTGGTGGCACTGTGGATGCACCCTCCAAAGGCAAGGCCTCCAGAGGGGGATTTCAAGTGTTCTGGCCCCAAGTTTACTAGGCACCCCAGATGGGAGCATGCAGGCACTTCTTACAAGCTTTCCCTCAAGTTTCTCTCTGAGATTTTTTCCCCCTCATGAAACAGACAAAAGCAACAACACCCAACTAAAACCCCAAAATTATCCAATAAAAAAAAAAGAAAAGAGTTGATAAAAGAACTTCAGGGTCTTCTAACATATTTTTGCTGTAACTTTACAATCCTGAGGCAGGGACACAGGATATTTCTGCAAGTAATAAAGGAAGTTCTGAAAAAGTGCCAGAGTACAAACTGCTAGAGGCAGCCAAAGTGGTAAGTCTCCCACTGAGCTCAATATTGCAGGGTGAAATCTACTCCCATTGTACATTATGGCCATGACCCAGGTAACTTCTAGGTTTAAAAAACAACAGACAAACCCGAAACACCTTATAACTTTTGAAATGAATTCACAGACTGCTTTGTAGCAACCTAAAGAGACAGCTGCAAAACCCTCCTTACCAAAATTAAGGTTAAAGCTTTTGCAATCAATATAATCCTGGTTTGATCTGTTTGAACAAAACCAGGAAGCCAGAGAACAGCAAAGCACATACTCGATAACAGCACATTTGTATGGCGATGAAGGAATACTCACGCAGTGCGTACAGGGAGAGGACTATTCCAGCCAGGCAAAATCCCTCGAAAAACCTGAGTGTGCTGAACATGGTCACATTCACTGAGAGTGCCACAGTCAGTCCAAATATCAAAATGAATATGACAGAGAAGAGCAGTACAGGCCGTCGACCAACCCTAAAAATAAGGGATGTGGAGAAACAGTGTTAAAAGCCAGGATGGACATAATGCTGGATCATTAAAACTGGCAAAGAGGGGAACAAGTCAGGCAATCCCTTCCAAATACTGCCACCCATTTTTAATGTTTGTTCCATTCTTCTCTCTTTTTTTTCTTACAAAATCCCAGATTTCTTTGCCAGCTTTGCATTGACAAGTCCATCGCAGAAAGGATTAAGCAGAGACAGCACATTGTATTGGTGCTTGATTTAACCAGCATTTTCGAAACAACAAAGATAAACAAGGAAGCATCCAGGAACTACTGTAAGGCCATAAATAAGTCCCTTGGAGATGAAAATCAACTTCTCAGAGTTTTCTGTGGTAGCACAAGAGGAAATATAGTATTATATGATGCATGGCATAACATATTTTTTGCTGCAGAGGTCTCCTCTTCCCAAGAGACATGTGCTTTTCAGTCTCATGTGCAAGGGCACCCAGCCCAGGAAACTACTTTTCTTGGTCTCATTTGTTGAGGAGAAGCCTAACAAGCATGGACTGAGCACAAAACAGGGCTCAGGTCACTTTGCTGAGCCTTAGAAAGTAGATAATAACACTGACAGGAAAATTGTGAGCTCCTCCACCTTGTATCCCCATAGCAGTTGGAGAGACCCACAAAACCAGTCTGACTGGAGGGTAGGGCGAGGAATAAACCACTTCAAAAATCATTGCAACAGGGACAGAGGACTTGCAGCCCTCCTTTGCAGCTGCAACCTGCAACTGTGTGTTTGGTACAGTGCTGACAAGGGGGAAGAGTTATGCTACCGGTGGGGTCAGCTGCTGCAGAGTTTGGCTCTTTCACGTCCAAGGAACATGAAATTTTTAACATCTCTTATTCATATGTTTAGCCTTTATAATTCTCCTTTCTCTCCCCTCTTTCTGTGCAAGGAGAATGATATGAAGCACCAGAGCACATGGCTATTTTTAAGCAAGAATTGGATCATTATGTGGAGATTTCCAAAATTTTTCAACTTGTCAACTCCCACAAGTTTTCCAGTGGAACTGAGGATCCCTTTTAGTCAGCTCCATATGCCATTTTCGCAAAGAATACATGAACTTGCTTTTCGTAGGCAGCTTTCACAGACCCATTCAAAGCAGACTGTCAGCTGCAAGCCAGCCATCAGGTTGAATGTCAGCACAATAAAGAGCATTTAAATCTCACAACTTAGTCCGGTTTCACATGCTCTGGCATTTCTATTCAATTATTTCAGCAGATTGTCACCAGCAGTTATAAAATACATTATACATATGCACTCACAATTAGAACTTTGGATTTTGCAGAACTTAAAATAAAATAGGGAGTGAAGGCCTGAAAAAGAGACATCATTATAATTTGTTACATTTTTGGGAACTGGAAGAGTGCACCAGTCATCATTCAGGCTTTTTCAAAGTCATACCTAAGAAAGTATTGTCATGACTCCTTGCATGAAAACAGGTTTATTATTATTTTCAGCTATAGTATCACCTGTGAGGCCCCTCAAAGATTGAGCTTGTTGGCATGAACCATTCAAAGCTTTTAAAATAAAACCAACATGCAAGCTGAAGAAAGCAAGGTCAAAGCAGGCTGCTCACTGTCAGGGTACAAGCACAGGCCACTGGAAGATGAGCTGCAGTGGGGCTGAGGGTGGGAACACAATATCACTGACTCTGTGATGCACAACACACTGGGGACACGCTGAGGACAGTGACTGCTGTCTGTGCTTCAGATTTTGTATTTACAGAACACAGCACTTAGGCAGGGAGGGGAAATACCTCATGTAAAACCTTGAATACAGAAAAAAAAAAAAAGCCTATGAACTTTGTGTTATCAGCTATCTGCACAGACTTTTGCAGCCTCATTTTTGCTATGCCAAGCTGTAATTCATACCAATTAGTATTTGTGGAAGTGTTTTGCAGATGAAAGGCATTATGCAAACACTCAGAATTAGGAACTTAATTCTCATCACAAGCCTGACCTGCCATTCCCTGATGTTGATTGAAAAAGACCTCATGCTTAGCATACTTCAGTTCCCTTCCTCCCTTCTCCCACCCTGTGTATTCAAGGTTATCCATCATTAGGACACAGAATTTCTTCTACCATTATACAACTTACACAAATGAATGGTTGCTGCTAATGAAAAAGATCAGAAAATCCAAGAGCCTCCTGAGCCTGTAAAAACTGAGACCAGATAAGCCGTCTGCTAAGTGGCATTTCCTCACAAACACAAAACTAGTCATCTTCTTCACCAAGGCATGCAGCACACTTCTCAAAAAAACAAAGCTCCAGGGCAGCTATCAGCCATATATTTGGTGATCCAGCAGTGTTTTGACAGGATGGTGTCTTAGAACATTAAAAAAGTGCCTTTTATATGCAGACAGAATTATCTGTCTAACAGTACATGGAAATGCTTGTGAGAAATTAAACCATACACAATTTCCCTGGTAAAACAGCCCCAGGATGCTATCTGCTGCCATCCAAACTGTTCCAGAGAGAGATTACTGTATCACAGAAGTTTCAGCCTACACTGCATGCTATTATCTAGATCAAATGCTAAATGCTGCCTGCACAGGTAAATAACCAGGGATACAAGCAACCTCAGGCTTTTGAAGAATCCGCAGCCCCCACACAGTATGATAAGCAAATACATGGAAAAGCTATTCCTAATGTCAGAGTTGCACTGCAGGGGGACAGTGAAGGGGCTGAGGACAGGACCTGCTCTTCCCATACTCCTACACGTGTACCTTGCCACTCTGAGATAACCAAACTTTGCTCTCACAGCTGATCAAAGTGCTCTTCCCATGCCCTTCTTTGCAGGCTCTCTTGCTTTTGGGAATGGAATTGACTCAAAGGCTCCAAAAAGCATCAGAGCAAGTGCAAAGCAGGGGCACTACAGGGCAATGAGAGGTCCAGACCTACTGTCTTGGTTCTGCATGAACACCGTGCCCACCTGCTCCAGGAGGAAACTTTCCACACAAACTTCTGCAGGCTCTGTGCCAGCAGCACACTCTGCCTGTGGAACAAGTAACTTATTTAGGCATTGGACACAGCTGGTCTTCCCACAGCCACACATGTTTTCAAACCTTCCTATTATAGATTTTCTACACAGAGCTGTCCCAGAGTGCACACCTACCGTGTTTTGAACATGGAGCACTCAGTTTACTTAGCAAATTGCCTTAATACACTCTATGCCTTTGCCTCATTCAGCTTTAAAAGATTCTTTCAAAGAGGAAAGGCAAAGCCCCTAATGGCACAAAAACCCCAAAGCATCTTTTCATTATCTGAACTGGAGAGTGGTATATAAGTGAAATTAAAACAGATTTTGAAATTTTATAACACTTTTTATGCATTACTCCGTTTAATCTCCCTGGCTCTTGCTTGGGACTGACACTCTTTTTCCTTCATTTTCTCTTTCTACCAGGGACAATCTTTACAACTCCTTTGTATCCACCTCTTCACACAGCCCCAGACCTTAGCCGAAATTCAAGCTATGATTAAATAGCAAAGTAAATTCTATTTAGGTCTTCTTTTACCAGCCCCAAATGCTATTGCTAAATGGCAAAAAACCTATTGAGCACAGGAGTCCTGCTGTGCCAGGTGCATCAGCTGGCAATATGGACCAAACTGGAGTAGGAGAACCAGCTTTGGTAGCAGCAAACCATGTCCATTCCAGTCATCCACAAAAGGGTCACTGTTCCCTCCAGCCACCAAGTTACCCTTTTTTTCTCCTTTGCACCACAGCTAGAAACCAGTTTTCTTAAATTCACTAGACATTTCTAGATATTTGAAAATCAGGGTAATTTCATGCTGCATTAGCTTAGCTAAGCAGCTTGCAGAGGGGTCCAACAAACTCATGTGGCAGCACAAAGTACACACTGGGGACAGAAATGGATGGAAGCTCAGGATGCTCCTTTTGGTGGCAGAGAGCTATTAAATCTGCCTAGTGCAGTTCTCTCTCAAAGCCAGAGCCTTAGGCAACAAGTTGTTCACTTATTTGTGGCTTATTTGTCAATTATAGCAGCACTTTCCTAACTTGGTAATAAGTCTGCTTTCTCCTCACTGATTCCATTTTAGGAAAGCCAAGCAAGATCCCTCGTTCATTTCCCCTCTATACTTTCTATGGGTTCTTAGAGCCCCATTTTACTGTGGTATTTTAATCAAATTCAACTGTATTACATGCACATTCCCTACTTCACTGAAGAGTCATGATTCGTCTCTTGCCCAAAAATTTTCAGTGACTATTCAGAATTACGAGGCAATTTTGCTAGGAATGCTTGATCCAAATTACTGCAGAGCTGCAGGGGGCCTTTTCTCTCCCAACTGACCAGCGAGTTGCTGAGGTTTTATAACATTTCCCTAAAAGGAAACTCTTCGTCTTTTCCTGTTTTAATGAATGGCAAAAGAGTTAACTTGGGGCCATTAAGAGCACCAACACTGGCAACTGTGCTGGAAGGCACTGAAGTGACAGGGGCAGCATTATAGAAGTATTTTTTCAGGTGCTTCAAGTTTCTACAGAAATCACTTGAGTCATCCATGTAATTTTTTCCCCTTCTTCTGCAATTCAAGACCATCTTTTTAAATTAAAGCTGAACCCTCAGCATCATTGGGGTATCCAATAATGTTTTAACTGCCTCAATTCAAGGAACTGTGATCTACTCTTTTTAAGTTTAATACCTCAATACTAGCAGCATACAGATCAGCAAATCCTTAACACTACATCACAATGTTTGCCTAACAGAAACTTTTAAAAAAAGAACAATTGAAAGGTTTGCAAAAAACAGCCTTCAACTCACCAAAAGGTACTGTGTAAGCCCAGGGCTGACATTACATTAATCATGTATTCAGTGAAATCAATGCCACTTCCAATTTCTTTTGGTCCTCTCTCTTGGTTAAGAAAACAAAAACCAACCCCAAAGTAAAGGCTTTACTTGGATAATTAGAAAATACTTAATTCTATACTAGCTTTACAGCTGCAATAAATTGTGTCAGTGGGAAACAAGTAAGCCAAATATCAAATCGTTTGTTCTACTTAGCTTGATACAAATTACTCGGGTCCAATTAACACACTTTTACACTGTTTGTCCATCATGATTCTTTCAGAGCCTTAAAAATCGTTATGCAAAGGTTCCTAATGAACATAAAGTAGAAGGCAATCAAAACAATATTTAATATTGTTGTTTATTAATAGTTACATTGCATTAAAAGACTTATCACTTACCAGTCAGCTATACATCCTGTTATCAAGTGGCCAAAGATTAATCCTACAAGCAGGGAGAACTTAGCAATGTGGACTTTCCAGGCAGAATCACAAACAAGATCCCACTGGAATAAAAAAAGAGACAGATAAATTGAAATAGATTAATATCTCAGATGTGTTTAAACATACTAAATGTAGAGTTTTTTCCAAATGTCAATCCTAGCACAAGTGCAAGGAAATGGCAGAGGAAAGCTTTTCCCCTCAAGTCAAACCCCAGACCCCGAGAAGCAAAGCAAAGACTCATTCACCTCAGTGAGTTTTATCAGATCCTTAATTATAAGATGACACTATCCAACACTTAAGGGTCCCCCTCCTCTCCAGGCCACAGGAGGTTAGCCTAAGGGGAAATCTCCATCAGGCACAGGCAGCACCACTGCTGCTGCTGGAGCATCTCACCATCCCAGCCCTAGATATCTATTACCAGAGCCCTGTGAAACTCACCAGCAGAAACCCAACAATCTAAGAGCAAGTGCTCCAATTAAACTCCTCAGGGCTGCTTGGAAACACGGGGAAAAGCAGCTCCTTTGCCACAAACCCCTAATGGCCATTTGCTCCAGGCTCTCACAGTGTGAGAGTTTCTTTGCCTTCGGAAAAGCACCTTGATTTCCCTAGGTGGTGGAGGGGAGATGAAGACTGAATCAAGGCACAGCTTATCAGGACAAGTCCTGGAATGGAGCTGCTTCCAGAGCAGCTGGAAGTCCCAGTGCAGCCACACAACTTCTTGGGACAGCAGTGCCCCAGTGACTTCACAGCTCAGAGACCAGACAGGATCTGAACCTCCACAATAAATCTGTGCTAATACTGAAATTAACCTTTCATTCCAAAGAAAAGCGAAATTTCAGGCAACCTGTCACGAGGGCACTGCCTCATTCCCTGGGGAAAGATAGGAACAACAAGGTTTCTAGAGAGGCTTCCCTAAACTCCAAGCCATTTTCCTCTGAGGCAGAGGAAATCAGAAGAGCCAGACTGCATTTTGGCTTTAGACCAACATCCTCATTGCCCTCAGACATGTAATGTAATCTTTCTTACGTGTAAAGTGTGGATAGTTACTATTATACCCTTGAATAAATGTAAGAGGATATGTTTGCCTGTGGTTTGTGAAGTGTTCAAATATTGATGATAATGACAGCCACACATTCTCATGACAAATACGTACAGCTAACTTTGGAGAGTCAGATACTCCAGAATTGAAACTTTGCAGAATAAACGACTGTTTATGTGTAATGTAACAGTAGCGGCCCTTCTGACACCAGTAATTGAAGTTTCATAGCCAAAAACACAAAGTAAAAGTATGCAATTTATTTTTAAAAGTCAGATGCAACTTCAAAAAAAACTTCTCTCAAAATAGTTCAATTAGATGCACTGCACTTTTAAGCACTTCCATGACGCACAGCCCTTCCACAAACAAGGAAAGGCTCAGCCCTCTGGTCCAACACCACAGATGTCCTTGCTGTAATATACCATCTCACCAAGAGGTATAATAATTTTGTGGCTGAAAGAAATGTGCCAGCACTCAGGCTCAGGCTTTTTGTTTAAATTAAATATATTTCGAGTTCCCCCCTTCATTGATTTGCAGAAGTTGGGACACGTGCTTAATCTTCCACCCTGCAGACTGGAGGCAATAAAGAACCATAAGCAAGTAGTACGAGCAAGGATTTTTTCCACCAAATAGCTACGAATAATTTGCAGCAAAGAACTAAGCAAGGAACCGTGGATTACTCTCCAAAAATGTTGACTTTTCAGAAGCAAGTAGAGGAGATGCAATTACTAATACTAGCAATTCTAGAACCAATCTCCAGCTAGCAAACAAAAATATCTGCCCAGACAAGCTGTAAACAAAACTAAATCCAGAAGACACATCTGAGGCAGAGGCAGCCTTTAAAATTCTCCAGGTTCATTTTCACAATCCAGAAGTTCTATATGCTGCTTAAATCTGAGAAATCATTTTTGTTCGTAGATAAAAAAAATAAGTTTATTAAAAACATTCATATTCATACAAGAGCAGATTTAAAAATTCAATCATTCATTTTTATATCAATTGATGTCAGAGGAACAGCAGTGTCCTCCAAGTACAAAAAGAAAAAGGAGATATCCTGGTGCCTTTTTTCACAGCTTGCTGTTGCTAGCCAATGATAGCCAGCCCTCACACAAGCCCCAGGCAGGGAACGTGCAGTACCAGATTACACTTAGGCAAAGGCTCGTGGCTGGAAGAGCCAAAATCTCATGAAGGGCTGTTGTGAAATTCCAGCCCAGGACAACAGATGTCAAACCCCCTTGGCACACTGGCACAGAGAACAAGAGTTTAAAGCAGGAGAAAAGTCACTCTATCAGCTTGTCCTTCAGTAGTGCCCAAAACACACCCACTCCTGTCGATAACTTATCTGCAAGTCATCCTTTGTTTGTTTGGTTTTGAGGCTATTGTCCAACTCCCCAGCTGCTCTGAAAATAAAAACATGTATTTCCTTGCAAACCCTGCATCTGGCCCTTTCCTGCCCTCTGTTAAGGGCTCACTGCAGGCCAGCAAAAATCAGAGCTGATCCCCCAAGCCCACACGGGCTGACTCTTGACAGATTAGGCAGGCTCTGACCTTCCCAAAATATCCCCCTCTGCAAAACCCTCTGAATTTGTAAATACACAGATAGTGAAATATATCAACAGTTGCTTCAACACACAATTCTGGAGAATTTGCCATGACCCCAAATTACTTGCTCAGTACTAAGAGCTGACTTATATTGTGGTTTCTCCTCTGGCAACTGTCACAAACCAGAGTGGTCACCATTAAGCAGTTAGCCAAAATAAATTTGGCAGGACAGTGGTAGGTGCCACCACGGCATTCAACTTGCAAAGGGAGATGAAAATAAGGAGACGGAAGAAAAATGGATGCTGGAGTAAAAAGCAGCCTCAGGTAAAGATGACACTAATAGGACAAAATACAGATTTAATAGAGATTTAATATCATCCCCACATATCTTAACATAGCAGCAGAGCAAGCCAGCAAAGCTTTGTCATGCTGAAAGCACAGAGATTTTGCCAGAGACCTGTGTTCCCCTTTCCCTTCCCCATGGAAAAGCCTTGGCTTTGAAGAGCTAGAAATAAAGCAGGAGCCTTTATACACCATCAGTGCTGCCTCTCCCCCTACATACACCTGGGCTCAGCAGAGCAGAACAGTGCCCACGTGGCACAGCTGTGCCCAGAGCCATGGCACGTCCTGCTCCAGGCACCAGCAATTTCATCCTTCAAAGATGACACTCAGATTCGCTCCAAGGAGAAAGGAGTGACAACTTCCCATGGCCTTGCAGGACAAAACAGTCGGGTGGGCAGAGCTGATGACAGTTTGAGTGGCACTCCGAGTAAATCTGCACTGGGAGATTGTTTTGGCTGGAGACTGGACAGTAATCCTCTACCACCTCTTGCAAAGGGTAGATTAATCTGTTACAAGCAGGGAAACCATTAAATCCTATAACTGCTCTGGCTGAATCCCCTGGTATTCCACTTCGGAGCTGACAGTGCCGAGCCTGAAGAAAGAATGCTTCTAAAGTTACCCTGGGATTTCTCTGTGTGGCCCTGGGTTTTGTATGTCTTTCTATCCTCCATCCATCCTCCCAATACAAGAAAGAGATCACATAGTGTTACTTGCTAAACAAAAGGAACTGTATTGTTATGCCAAGTCAAAAATAATCATATTTAAAATATGCGGGTGGAAAAGGAACAATAAAGAGCAAAACTTCTTTTTTTCATAGCAGTACAGCAACATAGAGAATTTGCCACCTATGCAGATGTGCAATATATTAGAAGCATTTTTTCATGTTGTGACAGCAGATTTTGGTCAGAGTTGGAGTCACACCTTCAGGAGCCTAATATTTAAGTGATATCAGTGAGTCACCACCCATGCCGTGACTCACTCTAATTCACGGCGAGATGGAGGACTATTTAAAACGTGGGATGCTTGGGAAGACAGCTGGCAAAAGGTAACCCACCCAAATAGTAACCATCATGTAACTTCTTTACAAGGGGTGAAAACCTGGACAGGGCTCACGTGGTGAATCAGTATTTGCACTGCTATAAGTTACAAAAGTAAAGTCTATTGCACGTTTGTAACTACAGACACAAGCTGTCTGAATTAAGGGCTCTTGTCTCAAAAGCTCTTGTGCTCCAGTGGCCATAATGCTGTCTGTGGTGCCTAAGCACACTGACAGTGTGGTGCCACTGCTAAAAGGTAAGATTCCTGTTGAGGATTTGGCTGGTTCTCCCTTCACCACCATACCATGAGATACGCAAGGCAGACCCTTTTGTCCTAAAAAGTAGCAAGGAGAAAGCAGGAGAGATTCTCTGGTACAAAAAGCCCACAAGAGGGGAACTGGACACACACCCCCTCTTCCCACACTGTGGGTTCACAGTCTGCTTCCAATGCTTGATGCCCAGATTGCTGCTGAAAGAAAGCACTGCCTTCCCCAAAGAGTCTGCAGGCGGATTGTAGCTCTGCTGCGACTGCTCTCTGCAGTGGGTTCGGCAGTAAGAGAGGATGCAGAAGATCACCAGAGCTGCTGCCTTGGAAGACCCTAAGCCAGGCATGAAGCTGCAGCCTTGGTCCTTCCCCAGCCAGGCAGCACCTGGCTGCTGTGTCAGCCTTCTCACTCTCCATCCTGTGTCTCACACACCACCTATGACCTCCCAGTCCCTTGAGTGAAGGTTGCACTTGGGGAGCCCTGTCCTCTACGTATCATATATGTCACAGCAGCAGCAAAACCTGCCTGGGGAAAAGCCACCATCTTGCCTGCTCATTAGGGAACGATTTTAGGACCAATAAGTGAAAATAAGAATCGATCCTTCATCACTGAGGTATGTTGGGTCTCATCTTCTTTTGTTCCTCTCCTTCCTGTTTTGTCCTTTTATAACCAAACCCTGTAAATTTACCCTGCACAGAACTAGAATCCATCTTCTATACAAACGCATTATCTAATAAGACTTCAAATTTATGAAGGCATCATATTATCTTAGAGTGTTTTTTTTTCTAAAACCCCCAAACTGAACCAAAGATATTTTTAAAAATAAGAATAGAGTAATA